TAGTAGCTTCTTGTTCCTAGTAGCGATGCCAGGAGCCCCTAGTAGCGTCCTTGCTCTTAGTAGTATGGCCAGGAGCCCCTAGTAGCTTCTTGTTTCTAGTAGCGATGCTAGGATCCCCTAGTAGCGTCCTTGCTCCTAGAAGCAGACCATATTAGACCTTTTTCCATGTCTTTTTCTTTGTTTCTAGTAGCGATGGCCTCCAACCTACTAGCGATGGCCTCCAACCTAATAGTGATGGCCTCCAACCTAGGAGCAAACTATCCTGATCCTGGTGTTCGGGTATCATACCAACGCAAACTCATTTATCGTAAGAAGAACGTTCCTCCCAGTGCAAAAGAGCTGTGCCAATGTGGAGCTGCTTTTGACACCGAACACAGGACACCTCCAACCAATAATGTGTTTGTAACTAAGCCCCCAGCCAGGTTTTTGGCAAACCATGTTCTGGAGTGGTTATAGTTTGCGATTTGATCCAGGAGGTTGGGTCGGTGATAAATTGGTGTCTTTTCTCACGAAATCATTTCCAAATTTCGAGGCACACCTGTTTGCTTCTTGTTCCTTCCTGACCCTAAGTGTTGAGTTTGGATATGTGCCAGGGAAGGGTCACGACTACGCAAAACAGCTGGGCCGCTGTGGCAAACTGTTGGTCTATTCCTTTCCTTGATGTTGCCAACACTTTAAGCTCCATAGTGTCCACCCAAAGAGATTTGATGTATAGGCTTCAAAAAATATTCACGACACATCTTCTATATACGGACAAAGTCGAAGACCCAAGGCATGGAGCTTCGTGACGCATTTTTCCTCTGGAAGATCACTGAGGCATGAAACATCAAACATCACTGAGCCACGTGTGTCGTGTTTGCTGAAATGGGAGCGAAGGAGCGAAGCACTAGGAAAAACACTATATAAATAGAATTTAATTCTATAGCTTCTTGTTACTACTAGTAAGGCACTTGTTACTAGTAGCGTGGCACTTGTTACTACTAGCTTCAAATTAATTCAAGGAGGTGAGGTTTGGAGCACAACTCGGTGGATGGCCACAGAGTTATTTCCCTCACGTGGTCCCGTGGAAGAGTTGTGCAGATGGTCCATCAAGAACTGACTGGACTGATACACTTGACGGAGCATTTAAAACAATCAGCCAGCAAATGTTTCGGATCAAAATCTAGGGCTCCCAAGCATCCAAATGGCCATTCTGATAGAATCCCCTAGCAAGCTGGTGTTGGAGGGATGGCAATACATTCCATGAGTTTGCATGAACCCCTGCGAACCCATCTGTCGTGAAACCTAGGGACATAGGAGACAGTTTCTCAAGGAAAAGCATACACAGAATCATACGGAATCAATAAGCATCCCCAGTGACAGCAGTGCCAAGTGGCCTGTGTCAGTGCATGGAGGGCTTGATCCGATTTAGAGATGAAACAATAATCAGTCCTTAAAGCTTCAGCAGGAAGAGGTACATTGTCACAACATTTATGTGGCGGTCACCGTCCTCCGTGAGGAAGAGATGCAAATGTATGAAGGTTGTAAGATTAATTAATTAATATGTTGTGATAGCTGTAATTGGGTGAAGTGTAGAACTTGGGGTTTCATTGGAAGCCCGTGGCATTTCGTGGCAGGTGGCAATGATCTACTATCCTGCCATCATTTTCATGCAGGATGAGGCCAGGAATTCAATGCAACGATGGGAGGGCAAGATGCTGTTCGCACATTGCATCCATCTATACGGACAGGTTGTCGCTGGATTTGACAGGCTATGAACGACTACAGTGCCGACGTACTCATTCAGCAGTTCGAGGAGAGCAGAGCAAGACCGATTTGTTATGTCTGTGCTGCTAGCTGAGCTTAGCTGAGCTTAGCTGCTTACTCTGTTTCCTAAAACAGTGCATTGTTCATCCCCAGCTTTGGGGTGCACACTTTGGCGAAAAAAGGAAGATGTCAAAGCCGCTTTAATGAAGGGAACCTTTCTGGGTAGGCCCAAAATGGAATCAAATTATCAAGTCCAATTTTTGTGGCAGGTGTGGGACGATCAATTACCACACCACTTTTTGTTTATAGATAAATACTGTAAAAAGCTTCTAGGTTGGAGGCCATTGCTACTAGGTTTGTTCTCTTGTTTTTGAAGAACTAAGAAATACAAGGCTTGCCGGTGTGAAAAATGATTGGCCACACGGCCCCAGGTCTCCCAGCGTAGGATTCTAGGGGTAAGGGCTGAAGCGCAGCTGTTTGTGTGCAATGTGTGTTTTATGTTTGAAATGGTTTTTTCTTTTTGTATGATGCGACAAATGGCTTTTCCATGTGGGACCAGGTTTGACCCACATCCAGACCGAGGAGTGTGGTCCAGCTCTGACCTAGTCGTCTTGTTCTGAGGAGCTCCGGAGTCAAGACGTGCTCCGGTTTGGAGGATTGCAAACAGGAACCGTTGCGATGGTGAGGAGCCCAGTTAGATCAAGTGATATCAGCACAAATCAATCTAGTTCGCTTGATGAATGTAGCTAGTGCCTGCATCGTCGGAGCGCGCTTAACTGTCTTTTGCCTTGCTCATGCCTCTTCAGTTGGTTCAGTCCGACGTCAGATAAGCTCTGCATCAGCAACCTATGCTAAGTCATTCTCCTTTAAGTGCGACAGTGCGACATGAGGGCATCCACGCAAGATCATGCAAGAGCTCGCAAAAGCCCCTGTTTATTCCAGTTTAAAATGCTAAACAGATGTTCACGAAGGTTTAAGTGGAATCGATAAAATAGTAGATGCCTTTCCGAGTTTGCTCCATGTAATTGCTACAATTTGCACCCAAACATTCGACAAATTCCAAATTCGACACCGAACATACCTCGTTGTGTTTTTGGTGCTGGGGTGCGAACACGAGCCTTAGCTTGGGAACAGAAATGCATATTCATCATGAGGTGTAGTGGTAGTGGTAGTTGAATTAAACATGCAAAGACAAAAAATGGAAGGTTTTGCAACAGATTTGGAAGTGATGTGCCGTATGATCTGGGGGTGCAGGGCAAAGAACATGAAGTGGTACGCTTTCGGTGAAAATTTTGGAAGGAGTGGCTTGTTGGCTTTTTAGGGATTTGGTGGTGCGAATGTGCAATAATGAGACATAAGGTAAGACATACATAATATATATATATATATGTTATATATACAATAAGCATCAGCGACATAAGACCTAAAGATGAATGGTGCAATGCAGCGGATGGAAAGTGATGCACATATGAAATAACAGAATGGCTGGGCATTGTTGGACATGAAAAATGAACAATTTCAAGTGATCGAAGAATAGTGTTATTACAACTTTACAACAAACTATACAACATGCATAATCGATCCAAGCTCTGGAGATGAGCAGTACTGGTTATACTATGTAGTGAATGACAGAACTAAGTATATGAGAAATAGCAAATGCCGGCAATATTGAAATTTGTTGGATAGTTGGACCCCCTGAAACATGTACAAGTTTCAAGGGGTCGGAGAATAGAGTGAGTGCAATGGACTATACAACATGGTTAAACATCTTACCATAAAACTATACAATAGGCATCTAGAGTCCTGCTCATTCGGTTACGCATCATCTGGGATGTTGGCTTGGATGTGAATGACCTTTCCTTGCTCTCTCTCTCTCCCTCTCCTCTCCAAGCAAACGGTGCTGGCGGTTGTCGCCGCGAAGCGACTTGAATAGTGATACACTCTTGTTCCTAGTAGTAAGAATGCTCCTAGTAGTGGGGCCAGGAGCCCCTAGTAGCTTCTTGTTACAGTTGTGTCAGGTAAGTCATGGTAAGTCCGCTCCCATGATCAGTCCTAGGAGGTTGTCCTCGGTGGTAAAGCATTACGATTTCCGAGTCCCTTGTCAACCAGGCTGAAAATACTCGTTCGAAACGTTTGGAGACCTTTTCGGATTTCAAGTCTCGCACAGGTGGCCCAGTCACCGTATTTGGCAGCGAGTCTGGAGTACCACACCGGGCAGAAGTTGCCCTCTGTGCGACCCTTGGCACGCTATGTGGAGGTGAAATACCAGCCGAACAGCTCCAGCATCCTGGTCCTTTGTGCCCGGAGCGTCAGGGAGAGAATGGAGAAAGGGTCCGAGAAAGCCGATCTAGTGAGACGCTACAGCATTGCGCATTTCGCACATGCGCCACTAGTTGCTCTTTGCTGTCTTTGCTAATCTATAAACAGATTCAATATTTGCAGCTACATTCTAAGAGCTGTTAAGCTCCTGACTGAGCCATCTCCATCTCACTGGGGTGCTTGCGAGGACCCGGCTGATGATGTCCCACAGCTGCCGTGGGTTGTTTCGTGAGGGGCAGCGAATGGTGCCACGAGGAGGGCCTGAAAAAGAGCATCAGAATAGGGTTGTTGGTGGGCTTCACAGGTGGGATTCGCTGAAAAAAAGGACGTACCCTCCCTCAGCTGAGCAGAACCACTTTGAAGAGGAAAATGATCTTCCAGCGGCTTACGCTCCACTTCCATGATTGTTTGAGGTAGAGTAGAGCAGCTCGCGATGCACAAGTCTTCCTAAAGATAGATTAGAGATCCATATAAAATGATTGAAATGGAAGTGTGAGACTTCCTTGTTGAGACCAGTTGGTTTGGATGAGGGCTGCTGTCGGAAATTGTTCTAGCAAGCGCGGAGTATCAGACGTCGACAAAGTTAGAGGAAGGCTTGCTGTAATTCTTCTGGCCATGGGATTCTTGAGATGAAACAGAAAATGTATAGGTTGGAGGCCATCGAAAACATCAACTTGAATTGCTGAATGTGCTGTCTAAAACCCCATGACATCCAGGCACCTTGCAGGTGCGCTTGCCACCGGGTGACCAAGATGTGGTTCACGGCTTCACATTCGAGGAGGCGCTACCTCCGGTTCTGGAGGATGCTGGAAGGACTGGACAGGAAGCTTTCGGTAGCATCCGGGTGTTTACATGTGTTTACTGTCCTTAACGTTTTACCGTTTTACGTCAATTCATTCTTGTGTTTGCTTAGCGCTGAAAGTTATTTATACTAATTTACAGTAGGTTGGATCCATTGCTTTCACAATTGAAGAGAATTGGACAATCTCAATGTATCTATGTATAAAACTAAACTACCCATGGCAACTTGAAGTCGCTTATATTGTCATTTTGGCAGCTATGCAGGTGTAGATGCTGTAAGATTTCCAAGCAGCTTAAGCTGTTTGTTTGGGTTTGTAGGTCTTGTTTGAGGTTCAACCAGCAATCGGCTGCGACTGCGGACTTGCTAGTCATCCCTTCTTGAAAACACCCGCGATTACACAACATGCGTTTCCGATTTCAACAGGCCAAATCTCATCGAAAGGAGATGGAGAAATGAACGAGCTCCGAACGAGACAAACTGGCAGCTCTACACCATTCTTTGAGAAAAAGAACCGAAGCTCTTTGATGGTTGGATTCAACCAAACGAATCGCCTTGTCCTCGGCTGTCAGGTCTCGCATTTTCGTGCGACTGTGTTGATCCCATGGAACATTGCCGTCACGACCTTCTACGAGCTTTATGCTTCGGTGCTGAAAGAGCTGAATGCAGTTTGGATCTTGCTTTTTCATGTTCTTTTTTCCCTGGGTTCTTACTTTTATCAGCAGCCCCTCCGGTCGTCCGCCTGCTCACTCGTACTCACTCACTCGCTCTTAAGGGGATGGGAGGGTCTGACACACCGAAGTCGCCGGGTGATGGCCGGCCTCTTGCCCTTGCGTTGTCCGTGCGGCAAAATTACGTTTGTGATGTTGCTATGCTATGCGGCTTGGTGCTGCCTTGGTGGAAAGTGTGTTTGCGTGGCTTCCTGCCATTGGCCAACGGGAAACATACGTGTGTAAACACGGCGTGTCGCTGGTGAGCGGAACGGTTTGGCAGTGTGAACAACAACTCCCTCACATCAACTTCTTCGCATCAACTCACTCATGCACGCACCCACTCACTCACCCACACGCACACTCGCTCACAGTCACAGTCACAGTCACAGTCACTCACTCACTCACTCTCTCTCTCTCTCTCTCCCTCCCTCCCTTAGCAATAGGTAGCTGCTACGTATGGACAGGAAAGCTCACGCTCGCAATTTCATGTGGTTCTTAGATCTTTAGGGAAACTGGGCTTCAAGTCTGAGACGCTTGACCATGGGCCCATCCTAGGCTATGAACATGCCCCTCTTCGTGCCCGACGCCCTGTGGCTGGCTAGACTCTGGCCAAAGCAGATGACGAGCTATGGTAGGACCGTGTGGAGCAAGCGGTTTAGACAGCATATCTCAGCTGTGCAGAAACTTGGTGTCTCATTGTGTAATCTAATCTGATTAGATAGTACAGACAGTATATGCATGCACATATATGTGAACATGTGAACTTATATGGGTGTTATTCAGTTCACCTAGACCATTCTAGACCGAGCCCGCTTAGTCACCGGGAGGTCTACTTGCAAATGCTGACCGAGCACCCGAGAGCTGTCTCCAGGAGCCATCCCAATTTGCATCAACGGTTTCGACCAAACAACGAGTGGCCTGGATGGTTTGGAAGTTGGATCAGTTCAAAAGAATGAATCTGTTAGTAAGTTAGTAGAAAGAAAACCCTACACCAGAAGAGAGGAAACAAAAGACACTGTATATATGCATATGTACGGTGTTTCGGCATTCCAGGAGGCGCAGGAGTTTTTCCATCATCAGCATACCATAACGTCGCACACAGCCATTTCTTCTTGCATACCGCGCGTGAGCACGTGTTTTACTTCCGAAGGATGAGTTCTTTCAAAAGTGGATGCATTGCAAGTAAACCTATTGCGCATGCCGGGGATATCAAGGGGACACCGATAGTATCAGCTGACAGTGATTGGATGGTCATGGTATCAAACAACCGACATGGTACCGAGGCACCCGACTCCATATCCTTCGTTGGCAACTTGGCAATCCCAGTTCGCCAAGATCACCGGGGCCCAGCCATGGCACACAAAATGCCTCACGTGGTTGGGCGCGATGTTCAGTGTGATTTGTCCTGTGCGTTTTGACCCAATCTGAGGATTCCTTAGAAGATGACTTCCAAACCATGCTGTATTGGGCACGTCGAGCCCTGACAGAACTGCTGGAGTTTGCTTGGTGTGGCAACCGCTGGTCGCTGTCAAATCTAGGATCCCAAAAAACTGTCATCATTTGTATCCCACGGTCTCACATGTACGGGATATACTCCTCACATATATCATTGAAAATGCATGGACTGGGACACTGTACTGACGGCTGGCCATCGATGAGTGCGCGAGGTTATGCCTTTCTGGAGATGCCGGGCGTCCAGAGCTTCACCTCCATACCTCAGCTTCTGTTGAAGATGACAGATGTTGACTTCCAGAGCATCTCAGAGAAGATGACAGAGGAGATGCTCGGATGTCAAGGTCGAAGCTTCAAAGCTTGAGCGCTTTGGTAGATTGGAAAGGCATCAGCATCGCCTGCATGTTCGTTGCATGTTCACTCTGGCTTAGAGGGTCTTGTTTGAGAGCTGCTTGGGCTTGGGCATGCGAAAGAACAGGTGTTTGGTGGCATTGATGTGCCGATGTGTCGTAGAATGTCAAAGTCACAGGCTACTCTAGCAATTCTACCAGAACCTTTCCAAAACCTCTTCCTATCCCAACCATGCTTTGGGAGCTGCCAGATCATGTAGCTGCAAAAGGACAACATCAAGCAGACGGAGGATCCCAAAGTTGGTGACCGCAGCATCTTCCCGAAGCCAATGCTGCATTGCGCAACCTTCTCCAGAAAGTTGGCCTAGGAAGTGTCCAGTCTCGTTTTGTCCGGCAAAGACCCACAGTCGTCCTCCAAAATATTTCCTACACCGATGTTCAAAGCTTTATTTCTTTGTCCTCACTGCAAGCCCATGCCTTTGCAGTTGCTTCATGCATGCGCATCCACCCTGCGCCGTTAGTGCCGTTGAAAACCTGCCAGGCTCCTCCAGATGTTGATCCCACCCAGCTGCCTACATTTTTGTCCTTGTTGTGAGCAAAGCCTGTTATCTCTACACTGGGGCCAAACATTGGCCTATGATGGCGTGAGAAGACCAAGCAGCCATAGGTGAGAGTGTGACGTTGAGAGAGTTCCACTGGGTAACATGAAGACCCATTACGGCCAGCTTTTTCTAACGAAGCAGAGACCGCGCAACGTTTCTTTCAATGACATTCTTGCATGGGATTTTCCAGGTGGCTGTTGTCAAAGATGTTGGAACCCCGGCACTCGGCTGGCAACACTTGTCCATGCTACGCAACACTCCTGCCGCATCTGCCATGTGCCATATCTCAGACACACAATCACAGAGCAGACAAACGACTTCCAGGGGCTGTTGCCTTGCCTTCTAGTGACCAAACGTTGACCTGGACCACCTCAGCTCGTTCTCCGAGCTCCGTTGCGGTGAACTCAGCGTTGCGCTGTTCCTGTACTTTCTTACGAACTTGGTACTGTGACGTGACATGTTTTTGGATGTCTGACTTTCCTGCGGATGACCCGAGTGGATGTGGCTGAAGACATTGGAAACCTACCGCTCAGCTCACACACTGGTCCATGTCACTGTCACGGAATGCCTTCGGCAGTCTGTCGTTCCAGCTGTGAACTCAGCGCTTGAAACTGTCTCTTCTCCTGCTCTTGGCGTATCTTTCTTTCCTGCGTGGCACAACCATCCTAGGCCAACGCTCCATCTAGCAAGCTCTGGACAGATTCTTGTGTTGCATGTCAGGCAGTGCGTCTTCTTCTTCTTCTTCTTCCTCCTCTTCTTCTCGTCATGTGTTTTGCGAGAAATACAATGTGCCTCATCTAAGAGCCTGACGCAATCTGAGCGCTTGACAGCGCTGCTGCTGGAATCGGCCCATCTCGAGGCAGAGACACACAGTTGGATACCCAACAAAAGCGATGTGTTTCCTGACTTCCGCGAACCATCGTCTGCGTAGGTACGTTGCCTGAGCGAACTCTAGCTGTAATGGACAAAAGCGCCAGCTTCGGCACATCAGAGCACTTCCATAATTTAGGAAACTAGGAAACAACTAGGAACAAGAAGCTACTAGGGGCTCCTGGCCTTACTACTAGGAGCAAAGAAGCTACTAGGGGCTCCTGGCATCGCTACTAGGAGCAAAGAAGCTACAAGGGGCTCCTGGCATCGCTACTAGGAGCAAAGAAGCTACTGGGGGCGCCTGGCATCGCTACTAGGAGCAAAGAAGCTACTAGGGACTCCTGGCCTTACTACTAGGAGCAATTTGGTGCCCGGTGCACAGGTCGATGTGGGGAATGTGCGCGTGTGCAGTGGGGGCTCTTAGGTGGCTTGAACATGCTTGAACCTTGTTTACTCCCGAGCCCCCCTCCAAAAAAAAGAAAAGCATCCCGGCTTCTGCAACAGCGCAAGCCAACCGAGTAAAACGATCCCGCAACCCGAAGTTTCTCCCTAAAATTGAGCCAAAACCACCAGATACCCTTGTGACACCACATGGAAACCCTACCAAAAAAGATGCGCAAAACAAACATCAACCCAATGTTGGGAGAATATTCTAGATTCTACAGTCAGATTGACTGTTCGCTTCACTCTGTCTCCACTTCTCATCAGCTTGCGGATCCACCGCAACTTCAACGCAGCTGGCTCGAGCCAAGGACCCACAAAGCCTCTCAAGAGGTCATCCCTTTCTGGGCTGCCTTGATCAATGAACTCGTGGCCAAATAGTGGAAAAGGAAGTCCAGAGTTCGCGCGAAGGTCGAAAGTCGTTCAGGATGCGAAGATTGAAGGTATATGTTTTGTGGGGAAAATTTGCATGGGACGATGAATATCGGGTGATAGTCCTGCTTCTCACTATTCATTGGGCATGTGTTTGAAAGTATAAGTTTGTTGTGGTAAAACGTGCCGCATGTAACATCAGTTTACTGTACTCACTGTAAATGAATGCACGTTTCTTTTCCGGTGGCCTTTCGGTATAGCTGATGCTGTATCTGTCCCCTGCGGAACCGAAACGAGCGGGAAATCCGAGTGTTTGAGGAATTCCATACAGGTCCCACAAGGTGTACTTGGAGTTGTTACTGTGGACAGAACCAAAATGCAGGTGTTTCTTGTGGTGCAGCAACCAAGAAGGGCCTTTCTACTTTCGACAAGACAGAGGGACACTTGCAAAGACATGTCATCTATGTACACAGCCCTTCACAGGTTTCTAGTGTCCATGACCATCGTATACCATGATGTTTAATCAGTATTGGGATCGTGCTGTTGATTTTTTAGAAACTCAACCCCTTGACTTGTTTAACTTGTTGAGTATGGGCTTATGTGACATGAGGCATCCTTCTATCCAGTACAGTAGTTTCATTTGCTTGGTTTTTTGACTGGTTTTGGATTGTGAGACGAACCCATCTCCAGATAAACAAGAGTAAGCAGGTTGTGAGTTGTGGTGTTCAATCAAAGTTCTACTGAGCTGTACGGATTGTGTTTACCGACTGCCCCTATGCCAAAGTCTAGAGTTGGGACGATGCAGGGTCGAGCACAATGAGCCGATGGGATCCAATGGGATCATTTCGTAGACGATGTGTTTTTTTAATGGTTGATTGGCTGCATGTGTTTGTGTACCCCTGAAGTCTCAGAACATAGAGTGAATCAGAGTGAAATAGATTAAGTGATGCTTTGTTTGGATTGAAGGTATTTCAGGACAGGAGTCCTTTATCGAAGTTACCGTCGATCTCTCCCACCGAGCCTTGCTGGCCCAAATCTAGGTTGGATGTCCATCTTGGGGTTCTGTCGTGTGTGCATGTGTGTGTGTGTGTGTGAGGAATTGACTCCACGACTTTGTCAGCAAAAAGAATCGTTCAGCAGCAGGAGTATTTCACACACCCCAGAGCCCAGAAAACGTGTGGAAACGTCATGAATTCGGACCAAAAAGCACCAAGAGGGGCCACAAGGGCCTCACGGTGTCAAAAAGACGAAGGACGAACAAATATTCTACTCGACGCAGGGGTCGGGTCGGAGGGTCTGTGCACAGCGCCCCTCGCTTGGCCATGGTGGTCTTGGAGCTTCTAAGGCCTGAGCTTCAGGGTCTCAGTCCGTTCTCAGAGGCTCGACCCTCCATGAAACGCCGGATCCACAAAAAGAAGTGAAGACCCTTTTGGGGACAAGATCGAAGAAAGTCTTCTTCGTGTCCTTCCTCCGGTGCAAAAGGGATCGGATTCCGGAGAAAATTATCAAGGAGTTGTTCGAAACGTTGTGTGCTCCCAGATGGTCTAGAACCCAACATACAGATCTCCAATAGGTCAATGAGATAGAAGCGACATCCAATACACATTTTGAGAAAACGTTCTTTCAAGGTCGCCATAGAATTTAGAAGGGCGCAGACATGGCTCTCAAGGGGCCAGTTCTTTGGGATGTCAGCTGGAAGACCAAAGGCTCACTGGATGGCAGAGAACGATTCGTTCATCAGATTTGCGTCTCCCAATAGCCATGCTACTCGTTTTCATTAAAGCCCCGAAATCGAATAGATCAACTACAGTAAGTGGGCGTATGCGGTTGCTAGACAAGAAGCGGAAACCACCAAAGTCTGACATCGCGGATTCATCGTTTTTCATAAGTGCAACTCTCGTCGGGAACGAAGGTTGACGTTCATCATGTTCAAATATCGTCGATGGAAAGGTGGACGTTGCCACAATATGGAACTGCTATCGCAAACAAAGATCGCCTTAAGGATCCGCTTGTTGTAGCGCCGATGGTTGAAATCTTCCTCCCGTGTCGATCTGCCAAGATCATTTGCGCCTGTCGCCCCCGCATCAGGCTGAACCTCCTGCTGCAGGTGCCAACCACCTGCACTTTGCGGTTGGCTGTTAGCTGTTAGCGTCAATGATTCATGAGTTCTCTATGGAAGATTTACAGTGTCACGCTTCAAAATGCCCATTCTGTTGGAATGATGTTTTCCACAGAAAAGGTCTCTTGTTCCAAAGACAAGCAGCCAAATGTTTGAGGCAGCCGCCTTCGACCCAGGTGCCAAGAGAACTTTGCCCGACGATTTGTTGATGAGTTGCCATGGATAGTTTAAACTTAGTATTCCCAGTTTGATGCTGCATTGGCATTCTCATAGTGGTGCAGGAGAACGACCATCAAGGATATGTTGGAAGGTACACAGTCAAGGATCTCGAAAACGAGCATCCAGGTGTGCCGTTGTTGCATGGCTTATATATATATATATTGTGCCGTTGAGTAGGTGTCAAAGCCGGAGTTGACAAAAGATTCAACTGCAAAAATACTGCATCCTAAAGATTTGCAAAACCTAAAGGAATACAAGTTTTTTGTGTTTTGCATAAGGCACGCAAGCACGCAGCATAGATCTTAGCAAATTTGTGTGCATTGATCTCCTCAGCGTGACGATTGGCATAGGCCGATATCCCCAGCTGCACTTTGAGGCGCCAATGCGCAGACTTCAGAGTTAGTTACAAGAATACAATAAACCGAACAACCGAAGAGCAATGGCCTCCAACCTAAAAGCGATGGCCGCCAACATAGGCTTTTTACTGTAGGTTTCAGGATCAATGCAGAAACGGTTTTCACTGCAGGATTTCGGATGCATTGCTTGATTTCTTTACACACTCAGAATGTGTGGTCTCCAAACAAACAAGCAAAGTTTTGCTGTCCTGTCGCCGACCGACTTGCAAATCCAATCTCTGTCAGGCGCTGTCGGAAGTCCATGTGGAGCAGCTTCATGTAGAGCCTCCGGCCTTTGGGCAGAAATTGGAGCAGCTTAGATGTAGTAGTTGTGACACAGAAGGCTTGGGTAAAGGCATAGTTGTATGATGCTGTAAACAAATGATGAAGCTATTTTGTGTACAGGAGCATTGATAGAAATCCTGCAACAATCAATCTGGTAGATGAACGCAACACGCATGAGTGGCAAACTTCTGCAGCTTTCGTCGCAGCTTCGGTATCCAGTTGACTTGATGTCTCCTCAGGATTGTTGAGCTTAATTCCATAGACTTTGCTACACGATTTCAGATTTGCACACGAATCCCTTCTATCGGACATGCTTTTGATCAAGAGTAGTTCTCTCACAATGAGCTATCTACATATGATATATATAGATAGATATGTGCGAACCTTCCATGCATATCTATGCCTGCGGCAGATCTATGACTGCAACAATTTGCCTTGGGATCTATGGATGCTGAAACTCCCAGAAGGGTGCTCAATTTCACTTAGACTTGTGCTGCTTTCACTGGTCGATTCAGGTTTGGCGTCTCCGTGGCTTCCTTAGCAAAGAGGACCGGTGCCGTCGGAAAGAATGTGCCAAACCAGACTGATCGTCACGGAACGAAGTCAACGAAGTGGAGGAATAAAAAAACGTATCCAACAGGAATCCAAATGTATCCGAACATTCAGAGTTTGTCCATTTCTGGCCGGAACAATGCAAATCTTCTTTGAGTTCCAACATGAAAAGCAACGTAGACAGCAGATGTACTTGCGGATGAGGAGGTTCCACGCACTAAGTTGAACAAAAACGATAAAAACGACTGAGGCCGTACTTGGGAGTCACCGGCTTGGGAATGTCACACTACTAGGTGTCCATCCACTTGCAAAGTGCCACTCTAGGGAAAATGTCAGAATGTCCACTGTGCCACAGACAACGGGTCTTCCCAATTCTCATGCAAGTATCCTGCGTCCTCAAATTGAACTGCGAACATCAAGAATGAAGCCACCATCATGCCAAATTCAACAGAGCTCTACAAGCCCAAACCCCCTTCCACTAAGTTTCAGATTTGCTTTTGGAGAATTTTGGAGAAAAAGACGCGAGCTCAGTGACGATGTTAGTTACGGAAGGATCTTTGAACATTTTGAACGCCTCCAAGTGTTCCCAGAGAGTCCAGATATGTCCGGATGTTTATGCTTTGAATTGTATTTGGACACGGGCTGAACATGGACCATTCCCATCCAGGACTGCCAACAGCTGATTGAAGAAGGTGGAGCTTGAAAGACCCGGGCCAGAGGATGTCCGCTCTGAACAAGTGCAGGTGGTTTTCGCGAAGAAGCCGCCCACTTTGTTTAATGGGTTTATCTAGCCGTTTTTCATTTTTCTTTTACTGTGAGATTGGAACTTACCTTGGATCACCAACACAAAATGTGAGATATGACATTGAGTGATCGACAAACATTCTGATGACTAAACTAGTCACGGCTTCTCTAAGAGCGCGGAAAGCGACAGGGAGCAACCCAACTTGCTCATGGCTTGAGTGAAGGATAATGAAGGATAGTAAGTGCGATACCTAGGTGCAACATACTCGAAAGCTGTGGAGATGGTGGGACCTCATGCCGGCTCATGGCATGCAACAACAGGGAGGTTTGGGATCGGTGGTGATGAAAGGAGCTGCTGTTGATGGACGACTTCCTGCACCGGCACAGATATGCTGGGGATAGTGCCGGGGATCTCCGGCGTCATTCTATATCCACTTTCAATGCCACTATGGAAGAGAGGTCCAACGGTGCTCCACAAACTCAACCGCATTGAACAGAAATGAAAAGAGAATGTCCACAGCAACGGAAAATAGCCGGTCAGAAGATCTTCCGGCCCTGAAGCGATTCCTGCTACCAAGAGTCCATGAAGCATGAAACCAACGAAGCAACTTATTGAAGACTTGAAACTTATTACGCTTGGACATGAACTACAAGGTGCCCTCTGATTCGGACTCACATCGGTTTTGAAGGTTTGTGTTGCGTCATTTTTGGGTGTGTCAAAATACCAATTGGGGCGCGGACTTACCACAACTTTTGTGCGGAGAATGTTCCTAATTGTTGAAAGAAGGACCAACAAAGCAGGAACTCCTATAAGGGCAGCCTCTAGATGAGGAATTGCTGAGGATTTCAAGGGCTCCAGGCTGTTCCAGGTGGCGAAACTCCGCCAGGCCGTAGTGGCCTGCGACCCGAGAAGGTCTACACCAAGAGCCGAGCAGCTGGGCATTCCCCGATCAGCTTGTGGGAGGAGTCCTCCAGGTCAAGCGGAATGAGGAAACCAACTCGAACCATGAACCATCATGTCATCCGAAATGAGTGAAACTGGATGGTTCCTTTATGTCGATGGTCCCTTAGAATCCCTTGCGCTGACTGTGGCTTGGAACTCCCGGGAATGCCCCGAACTGAGGAAGATTGTTCCCTCAGGCCACTGTTGACTCTGTTGCATCCAAGGTCCGTCCTCGGTCAAACCACACTATCCGCTTCGCTGGTGAAACTCTCCCAGGTCCTCTTCGACGAAAAGAAGACTCAGCCCGTCGCCTTCGTCTCTCCCCTCTTAGCCTCAGGCACGGGGCAAACGAGATCAAACGAGCCATCGGGAGGAGTGGACTGATTTGACACAGGTCCTGCGCTGTTGGGCTATTGGCAGGAACACCATCATCAAACCAAGCCGCCAACTTCTGCAAACAAACGAAGACCGAATAGACCGAATCCGGTATGCACTCAGTGCGAGGCGATCCTTTGAGGTGGAACTTCAGTAGAACCCGACACCACCCATCCGACACCAAGAGAAAGCGGAGCAAGATCTTATTGGAGAAAGATATTTTAAGCATATCTATTTGTTTGTGGCACGACATGTGAGACATCATGTGAACTCCGGCATTTTTTCATCAGTAAACTAAACTTGCCATGTTCATCCATGTCTAAAATTAGAAATGAAGATTGGGTTGAACAAATATCACACGTCTCATGATTGTAGAAACGTGATCGATCAGGTGCTTACGTCTTTCACGATGGGGATCTGTTCTGGACCTGTGGCGCTTTTGGCCTCCTGGCAGAGCACAACATGAGAAGTCCAGCGGTGAAAGAAAAAGTGTTAGGAAACCTGGTTGGAAAACATGTCGAAACGATTACTAACAGGGCTTGGCGGCTTGCTGTAGCTTCGTGAAGGTCTTCATTCAGACAGCATGAATGTGATTGTGACCTGGAATGGGCCAAGAATGCTGGACTGCTCATGTACATGACCCACTCTACTTATTACAGAGAATGTATCAGCCCTTAGCTTGTGGTCATGTTTCTCAACACAAAAGCTAGAGTCGCCGAGGGGTAATTCAGAACAAGCAGAAGACCATACCGACCTCACTAGCGCCACTAGCCAACGAAATGCTGGCGTTTTGGCACTGCTGTTCAAGCGCGCCACTCGAATGTATAACTTTAGCTGCTGATCAATGAACAAACGGTTAAAAATAGTCATCATACCAATGGAAGGTTGGTGATTCCCTCGCAACCATCTGTGTAGTGATGATATGTGTTCCTCGATACTTGTCTTCAATGACATTTTTGTTTGAATACCAACTACCCGTGGTATGCAATGGGAGCTCGGTTCATGTGCTTATTAATACGCCGTCACCAGAGGAATGAAGGACTTAGATCAAGAGGGGAGAAGGCTGCTTCAGGGCCACAGCTGTTCGTTGGCTTCTGAACCATGCTTTGAGAAACAAGCAGAGCTTCAGAGCTTACTGTTCCCGTAGAACCCTCATGTTACCGATCGGATTTGGACTGGACGGCGCACTGAGTGGCGGGGCTCTTGAGCACGATCCTCTTGCGGGAGTTGGTGCGTGGCTTGGCGAGATCTCATGGCGAAATGCACTTGGGAAGAGATGACTGATGATTTGGAAAGATCCTGCGGGATTGAAAGGGATGGCGACCTGTTCAATGTCACGGTGGGTGGGGCAGGCTTGAGCACGTCAGGGCTGCAAGTGACAAGCTAAGCAAGCCAGCTGATAAAGAATCTGTGGACTGCACAAGTTAGCCCAATTCTTAGACCAGGGGACTGATGGTGTTTGGTTTTGTTTGGTTTTGTGGTTTGTGCACTTCAAGTCTACTCCTTTCAAGGGAATTCTTATCATGAACACACATGAACAGAAGCTGTCACAAGTGGCCTCAAAGACCACGGCCCCTTTTTAGCGGATCCATTTCTCCCAAAGATTGACCAGCTCAACCCACCTTCATCATTGACGGTCGCTGCACAGATCCTGTCAAGGTTGGTACGTTACGGAGGTTGCCTCGGCCAACGGCCGTGGTGGCGCGAGGCGCAATGCGACAGCGATATGACCGCTGCGCAGCTGTGCACACCGTGAGCCGGGGGCAGCGCAACATCCGGAAGTGAGTCAAACACCCGACGAGTTGGGTCGATTGGGCTTGGGAATCATTCTCGTTTTTCAAATTGGCTGCAGGTGATCTGCCGGGAGGTTGATAGGTCCTAGAGGTCAGCAAGGACATGTGGAGTGTCCAACGAAAGCATTCCGTGCACTATGGTGCACTCATCTACTTTCTTGACTTACCAGGTTGTTACATACATCAACCAAGGTCCTTGCCTCAAGACTTTTGCTCGTGTAGTATCGGAAGGCTTTTGTATAGCACCGAAGATTTGCTGCAGGATCGGAGTTGACATCCTTTCTTGACCACTGTTCTCACATGTCTGCACCATCCCTTCGGCCATCCTGATGTCGAATCGGCGGTGGAATATGTTTCGAGAGAATCTGGCTGCACCAAATATTGAACACTCTACAAACAGCTCAAAATTAATGCTGGCCTGGCCAGAAGAAAATTGTGCAGCAAGATAGGTGTCTAGGACGTTTCAATCGTTTCAGTAGGCCAGCTACAGTCTGGAGAGCAGTCACGTTGACGAGAAATTAGATTGGCGCGTTTCTTCCATAAACAAATCGTGCTACAGTCGGAGTGCGCAGTTTCTGGACAAAACATGACAAAACCCTGTACAGACAAACCACTTGGGATTTGATCCCTTCGACTTTTCATTTTCAGACGCGTCGAAGCTTGGGATCGTATCAGACCCCCTCTTTCTGCGGACAAACTCCTTTATGTGTCGATCACCTTTCACCCATGTTGAAACCAAGCGCACCCCTGTCGTGATGTCGCGTATGCAGTCTTGGAGCTGTGAGATGCGAGGTTTCGCGGCTTGAAGTGGCAACTGGGACCCTTGTTGCCCGGTGAGACTGAGACGGAAGGACCCGTCACATGCGGACTGGCTGAGCTAGAGCTAGAACTGATACGTTTTCTTCTGAACACGAGTTCAAATATGGCACTGGAAAAGCAACGCCTGCTTGCACATTGTTTTTGTGCCCCACAGGCCCTTTGTTGGCCGTTACGTTCACCGCTCCCAACGCTGTTCGTAGCCGTTCAGTGAGGAGCCCGGGCTCGGCTGCTGGACCGTGCCCAGGCACTTTGTGCCGTGCCAGACAGGTCGACTGACCGCTATGGGGCAAGCGGCAGGATGACATCGACAAGTTGCTTAAAGACTTGAACTCCCAGCAGTCGTAGCAGTTTGATGCAGTTTGGCTATATTTCAGGAATGTACTTTTAGATGGTGATTGGATTTGATTGGCAAGGTATGTCAGTGCAAGACTTTCTCAGCAGGCTCAACTTCTACCATGAGTTTGTTCTTTTGCAGAAGCACAAGCCGGCATTTGGGGCTTGAAACTTGGTTAGAGAGAAAGCCTAGCTTGACCAGGCAAACGGTTTCCACGTTTCCGAAAGAAAGAGTTGTGTGTGTGTGTGGGTTTCACCGGGCCAGTTGGGAGTGTGAGCATGAAACTCGTTTCTATTTTGGTGCCAGGGCCACCCACAGCCATTTGCAGATTTGTGAATTGGCATCGTTGTCAGCAGCACAAGTGGTTTGGAAGTTGTGAATGATTCTTGATTCCTGCTCCCCCTCGAGTCACTAAAAACTTATTTGCATGGGCGTCGATGGGTCGCTGACGTTCGGGAAGTTTGAATGACCTACTCACCAAAAACGACGCCAGTGTGCAGCTGACACTCAACATTGTGGTTAGCAGACTCCCATCCAGAAAACTGTTTGTCTCAGAAAACACTTGTAATGACTCGTAACTAATAGAACATGTTCAAGGTGTTGACTATTCAACCTGTTCACCAACCTGAAGGGTGTCACGCCAGTCATGCCATGACTCATACCCACGTCTAGCCGTCCGAACAAAAAACTCCAGCAGCCAACTGCACTAAATGTCGTCTGCTCGCGAGCTGCAGGCAGTTCTTAGAGCCGCCCTTTCTCACTTGCTACAGGCCTGGAAAATGGCTTAGGTTGCTAGGATTTTACTTCAACTGGAGAGATTTCACTTGCCTGTTGGGGAGTTTCTCGGCGAGGATGGTAAAATGTGTTGCTCAGTATTGAGCATATAGCCATTTGCTTGGAAGTCGGCCACCGTTGCCAACTGTGAAAGAAGACTGTCGATGGACGAACCCAGAATCCCGCGGAGAAGAGTTTCGGGGCTTTGAGACAGGCATTTGTTGGTGAATGGGAAACCAAGACAGAGAGAATTTCAGCTCGAGTTTGGGCCACCCAGCTCTCCTGGTTTCTTTTGAGTCACAGAGTATGGAGCCTCCTTCTTGCCACAGCGGCAACGGCCCTGATGTCTCATCGGAGGGGGTTTCTATGTCAAGCCACAAAGCCACAACTGCAGGAAGATGGGCAAATCATCGGATCAACTTTATCCATAAGCCCAGCATCGTACAAGTCAGAGAGTGAAACTGTCGATTAATCAGACACAGGTTTGAAACGCGGGATTGAATTCTATAAATTTCTATCCTATTGCCCTGGATCTCTTCCAGCGGATTGCTCTTTGTTCACCACCAGGCAAGGCGATGGCCAGAGCCTGCACGTTGACTCCAAGGACGGGAACAAATCTGCTTCTGGGCGATTTGGACAGATTCTTCTGAGACTGACTTTCCGCTCTCGAAAGTCCTTTGTCAAAACCGCCTCGTTGCCTTTGAATACTTGGAGTTTGGGCCTCAGAGTTGGGGGCCACCCTGTGAAGGGGTTGGGTCCGTTGGTCCGTTGGTTTGTTCTGCACGTGTAGAGACTGTGGAGCTGAAGTTGCCAATGTTCAACATTGATTGGCAAACTCAATTGAGGCTGACCAGACCACCTTTGTACAGAGTGGTCGATAGCGGCTTGTTTTTTTCGTTTTGGGCTGGCTCCAACAGGCGAAGGCCACAGGCCAAGTGGAGTGAAAAACAAATTACTTGCATCTTACGGACCCGAGGATCCAAATGATTGAATTTTAAATAAATTGAATTAATATGCTTGTTTCTAATAGCTTCTTGTTATTAGTAGTAAGGCCAGGAGCCCCTAGTAGCGTCCCTTGCTCCTAGTAGCGATGCCCTTTAGTAGCGTCCTTGTTCCAGGGCTACGGACCCGAGGATCCAAAAAGATGCTGCATGTTACTTCAGATCATGTTTGTGGCTGAAATCCTCCACGCTGGAACTGGTGTGTGAAACCAATGGTTTGGGGTTCACAACCCTCCGTACTCTGTCGATTTGTTGTTTGTTCCCCCACATTCCCCAGCGGATTGGTAGTTTAAAAGAAGTTGTGGACCTCATCCGACTTCAGATAAACTGGCATTTTCCGGTTCTATTTAGGATCGGAATAATCAATCCTATGGCCGCGTAGTCCTCAAACCAGGAGCTGCCTAATGACAAGTGGAGCCCCCAAGACAAGGCGAACTTTGAGGCAAGAGAACATCGAAGCTCTGTAAGTGTTGGGACTTAGAGGTTTTGAGTGGTGGAGGGGCTGAGGCCACTTTTATCATTTATGTATGTGTATGATTGTTTATGTGTAGTTTGCAGAGATGAACCCGGACACATGTGTCCGCATTCCCGTGCAAGAACGAGGTGAGAGACGGAGAGCATGCGAGAATAGCATGACGAGATACTGACAGGCTTCGCCAACCGGCGACGCCCTTGGGGGGAATGTGCGTATCCGGAGGCTCCCTGCACAGCAACATGCGACGATTAGCACAGCTTCTTACGCCTGCACACTCCCACACAGGTTTGTGCACCAGGGTTTGATGGAAAAGCCAGGCAACCTCAGCTTCAGACACACGTATGCACATGCACACACCCGCACATGCACCCGCACGCACACGAACGCACACGTCGCGCACACGCACGCACACGAGAGCGCACACGGCTTCTTCAAATATCAGGGCTTTGTAGTGGAAAAAATGCTGAAAAGTGTTTTTTTATTGCTTGTGGCAATTTTCTAGCCTACAGCTATCTGCGCTTAGGCTAGAAAATGCGAAAAAATACCATCTTTTTCAGCGTTTTCCACTACAAAGTTCTGATGTTGGAAGAAGCCTATAAGCCCAGGTGGTGCTAGAAATGTCGGCCGCAAACCGACCTTTTGAACATCACCGGGACGTATGCACTTTCTTCAAAAAGAAACATCAAAAACACAGCGAACGTGATAACAAAAAAGTGCTATTGTAAAGCTTTATCTCTAGAGAAGAAGGTATGCTAAGAGGAGAGGAAGTTTTGAGGTAGCAGTTGTGTCGAGCACCATTGGCATCACCAGAATACAAGCAGCGTTGTTGATAAACTACATACATGTTGCAAAAACACTGTAATTTATAGTGTTTGTTGCCTAGTCGTGCGCCAAAGAATTTGCATCTTTCCTGCCGAGACTCTGCTGATGCTAGTGATGCTCGACCAAAACTTCTCCTCTAAACTTGTATCCATGTTCAATGCATAATTTTCTAATTAAGAGGTTTGGAAGTTACTTTTTCATCAGTGGCCATTTTTTATTATTTTCCTACAGTTTTTGATGTTTTTTTACGAATCCACATGAGCCTGGTGATGCTAGAAGTGCGGGTCGGCGGCATCGTGCGCGTCTCCGTATAGCAAGTAGCAAGCTATGCTTGATAGGTCATCCGGACGGCGTCGCCGGATGACGGCGTCGCCGGATTTAGGGGGCAAGCGCCTGCTGCCCCGTGCAAGAACGAGGTGAGAGCCGGAGAGCATGCGAGAATAGCATGACGAGATATTGTAGAGCTTCGCAGACCGGCGATGCCGGTTTCTTGACTCTCCAAATTTTACATGTTTGATTCTCCTTGAACCGGAAGTCGGGAGGCCAGTGGTGGGCAGAGGATGGTTCAGTGCTTGGTCTATTTGAACGATGCATCTTGGATGAGTGCAGTTTGACATGGTGGGATGACACGGCAGTCGAGAGGTGAAGATGCACATGCCCTTGTTGATGTTTTGAATTGAGGAGGTGTCCTGAAGGGTCAACAGAGAGGTGATGTATTCACGCCTGATTAAAAAATTAGGAAACTCGCAAGTCAAAGAAACGTCATTAGCTTGGCCAATGTGTAGGTGCCCAACGTCGGCAAGATCGAGAGCGCGCTGTAAGCCCAAAAGAGAAGGCCAACCATTTCAAAACCACTCAGCACAGTTGGGTTATCCTCGTGTTTGGATACCGCTCCAAGCCAGTCTGACACCCTACAAACTCTAGAGGAGTTACGTGGATTACTTTGGAATAAATCCACAAAACCTGGTGGTTGACATGGTGCCCACATTGAACAAATGTTTGAGGCATTGTGCCATCGACTCTAAAAGTCATTGAGCATCTCTCCCAAGCAAAGTAATGGTTTTTATACCACGAACTGCCCAAGCCCGCTGTTCTGCAACCAAACTGTTTGGTCACATGGTCACAACCAGTAGAAATGGCTTCGGACCGTGCATCGAATCGATAGGACCCGCACCAAAGGCGTGGGGCAAATCTGGAAACTAGTTTCCCGATGTTTCCCGGACCACATCCATTAACTCCCACGTGCCCCTAATTGCTCTTGGCCACAGAAAAGTGGTCAGCTTAAAGGAGTATCAGCAGCCAGGAGAGTTCTGTGCGTTTTTGTTCATGGCAGTCATATGACGCACAGCTTCTTCAGTGTGGCCAAAAGCAAAAGGCACCTGTAGACCATTCTGTTAGCTTTCGGGCTTTGACCCCTCAACCCCAGGTAAAGAGCCAATATTTCTCGGGGAAATTGTCCAAACGACTCAATCTCGATTCGCCCTCCACTGACATTGATGACCCACGTGACATCCCGCGACGAAAGTCCGCTTCAGGTGGCGCCGGAACACGGTGGAGCCACAGCCTTTCATCATGAGGCTCACCGAAAGTGGGCTCATCCAAACTCAGTTGAGGAGGCTTTCACATTGAGTTGCAGAATTAAATGCCTTGGACCATAGAATTGCCCTAAATAGTCCTGTTTACCTTAGTGGTTCTTTTTTTGCTTCGCTCCAGTTGCGTTTGTAACCCAGCTCGGGGAGTGTCAATAAGTGTTTTGTTTTTCACAGTGGGATTTAAGTTGACCAATCAGGAATTTGACCAATCCAAAAAGATTGAAGGAATGTCACCTGTTTTTCCCGTGTGCATGGGGAAAAATAAAATGCCCCACCCATCCCCATCCTTTAGGGGAAAAATTCATGAACCACCCATGCCTCCTTCTGGAGGGATACAGTAAGCTCTATCCGATCTCTATCCATTGCCCCTGATCGCAATTTCGGAGATTTTGTTGCCAAACAAGCGGGCTACGTTGGGATAAAGTCGAGTTCCGCAACTGCGCAGGATTCCGCAACTAGGATTCCGCAACTGTTTGGTCGGATTCCGCAACTGGGATTCCGCAACTGGGATTCCGAAACTGGGATTCCGCAACCAGGATTCCGCAACTAGAATTCCGCAACTAGGATTCCGCAACTAGGATTCCGAAACTAGGATTCCGCAACTGTCAATATTCCGCAACTAGGATTCCGCAACTAGGATTCTGCAACTGGGATTCCGCAACTGGCGTTCCGCAACTAGGATTCCGCAACATTGTGGACTCCCTCACTAGGACTCCGCAACTTTGTGAATGATGAGGGATGTCAAGATCACACGATGGGGACAAGGGGGGGTTGGGGGGTGGGGGGGTTGGGTGGGGGGCTAATGACGTTGGTTTGGATGTGCTTCGAAGGTGATGTCACAGGCACACACGCTATCGCATGATGTGGAGATCACCAGTTGCAAGTTTCAGAAGGCAAGTTGCAGAATCTGACTTTCCAGTTTCAGAATACCAGTTGCAGAATCTGATTTTCCAGTTTCAGAATACAAGTTTCAGAATCCCAGTTTCAGAAGCCTAGTTTCAGAACCCCAGTTTCAGAATCCTAGTTTCAGAACCCCAGTTTCAGAATACCAGTTTCAGAATCCAAGTTTCAGAACCCTAGTTTCAGAACCCCAGTTTCAGAACCCTAGTTTCAGAATCCGACCGATTAGTTTCCGAATCCGGCTCTAACCGGCTACGTTGATGTTTGCCAACTCGAAAGTTCCGGGAGCCAACAGAGTTGCATCGCCTGGTTCACTAGTGAAGTTCACCCAAGGGGCCCCTTTGGCACCCAAGTCAGTGAGGGTGCTCAAGACAACGAACAAGAACTACAATGGAAAACAGAGATTATGTTGGGCTATGGCACGTGTACTTTTCGGGGTTTCACACCAATTGGTCATTTGCGCAGGGTTCAATCAATCAATACCTACTCAGCCATATTCATGGAAAGTTGACAATATCCCCCTGCACGTGTTTGCCACCGCGATCGAAGATGGAAACTGATAGAGCTGTTTTAAGTCCGAAGGGCTATGCTTCCGCATATCAGGATTCTTCCTTGAACACTACCCACTTGAGAAGGTGTCCAAAGTGTCTAACGTTTGGCCAATCCTTGGCTTCAGCCCGAAAAGTATGCATAGACAATTCATACATCAGAGTATCAAGCGTTTTGAAGCCATTCCACTCCAAGCAGATCTCTATGGACCCTAAGCAAAAAGCTTCGCTGGATCAAGTCGCAAGAATTTGCATGGAAAGGGATCCAGTGTACCCTCAAGATGGTAGTGTCACACAATTCTGCAGGGGCACAAAAAATATAAGACCCTGCCAGCAATGGTGGGTGCTCGTTTGGTGCGAACTTGCCAGAGGTCAAACTGCGGGATCTCGTTTTGAGACGGACCCAGTAGCTTCCCTTCTAGAGGTCTTCCATGATAGACAAACACGTCACCATTTAATCCTGGCGAGAAGCAATCAATCCTGTGCTGCTCAAGGCAGGAGGTTTGGAAGGATTGGGCCGTAAGCTGCCATGAGCACTGGCGGTATGATACTGTTGATGGACACAAACCTGCATATCCTGCACCATTTGAAACACCCTTGGGCTTCAGGGATACCAATTGTGAATGCCGAGATGCTGACCCGCAGGTTGTGAACCTGTCCAACCGTAGGGGATTTGGTCCGGATGAAACTGGAGCGGGCAGTTGAAGCGGTCGCGCCATGCTCCAGCTGTTCTTGCTTTATTTGTTTGGTAAAGCAAAAACCCGACTCAGGTTCTGCTCATCAACCTCTAGACTCTAGAGACTATCTAGAGACTATCTAGAGACTATCTAGACTAGCCCCCAAAGGTGAACCCTAGTGGAGAAGACCCGAGGCTTCCAGATCCGTTCCCCCGAGGCTTCGAGGGCTTCGAGAGTCGAGAGGCTTCAAGTACGATGCATCTAGCTACAGTAGTAACAAGGGCATCGCTACTAGGGGCTCCTGGCATCGCTACTAGGAGCAAGGACGCTACTAGGGGCTCCTGGCCTTACTACTAGTAACAAGAAGCTACTAGAGTAGTAACTAGTAGTGATGCCCTTGTTGCTAGATGCATCCAGATGCCAATGGTTTGGCAAATGAAGCGGAGCCAAGTCACACAGCACTTGGTTTCAGGTTTGTTTCTTTGTTGAAGTATGTCTCCCTATCATTCCCTATCTCCATTTGATTGGCGGGTTTAAGGCGGGGACCACCGATCTGATTCTAGGGTCGAACACTGCCCTCACTAGTGAAAGGTAGATTACCTCCAAGCTCTGATTAACTACCATCCTGATTCCTGTTTTTGCTACCGGTCACATGCTTGGATTTCAGGGTCAGAAAAATCCACATTCTTGCATGACAAAGAAGTGAGCCGTGAGACCTGAGGCCATGGCCAGTCGTGCCCGGCAGGAGGACAGCTGAGGTCTTGAGATCGCTTATTTGATGGTCTTTTCGGGCAACCGTGGAAGACCCAACCTGGGTTTGGTGGAACCGATATGGAACAAGGACGCTACTAGGGGCTCCTAATAGCTGCATTCCCATGACATTCCAACCGAGAGCTTTGTGGCGGCTCTGGACAGAGAGGATTGGGAGCTGCCAGGACCTCTCGCAGAATCGGTTTCTCAAAGCACTCCGTGCCCTTTGGCAAGGCATTTGAGACTCCAAGGCTGATTGATGGTGAGACCTTGAAAGGGAGCGGTTTGTCATAGGCATCCTAATTGTTCATTTACTTTTATTTATATAGGGTTGAGGCCATCGCTTCTAGGTTGGAGGCCATTGCAAAAAGAAGCCCAACAAACCGTAATTAACTCTTGTTGGAGTCCTTCACTGACCCTGGCAGCTTGTCGGTCTTGCGCAACTCACCAGCTGGCGGCTGGCAGCCTCCAGATGTGTCCAGGGGACGTACCATTTTCGTGAAAGCACCATGAGTCCATGAGCGATTAAGTGACACAAACCTTGGGATCCAACAACAGTTTTATAAAGAGGGTTTGATTTAGTATCACCTGGTGATGGCAACAAATCGTTAACTTTGGTTTGTACTTATACAAGCCACTTGCATTCCAATCTTTGAGCACATACAGACAAGCGTAATTACTCTTTGCGAAGTGGCGGGTTTTGGACTGCCTAAGGGGATCCCTTGAGCTTAGTCCCCGAACACGGAAACAAACTGATGTGCACAATCTCCAAAACTCATGCTGCTCGAGGAAAATTCGGGTCGAACAAGTGCGACAGGGGTTCCTGTTCCTGTGATCACTTTGAGGCCAGCTACGAAGGTGGGCCCAGCTGTTCAGAGCGGGCACCGATGGGTGATGGATGAAATCGAGGAAAACCGAGCTCTTGTTGCTTGTATTAGCGTCAGGGTTTCTGGTATCTTCGTTTGTTGACTTGTTCCATTGAGCGTTCCCAAACATCAAGACACCGGTTGGAAGAGTTCTCCTCAAACATGATGGATTAGAAGGATAATATTTAGCACAAATCTACTTTCAGTCTGTATACGGACGTAACATCGCTTGGGAGCACTTTTCCTAGGTGCTGTTTGTTCAGTGGCGCCGATCTAAGAACGGGGCAGGTGGCATTTATCGACAGGCAGCTGAACGTGGCGAGAGGACGAGCAACCCGTGCTTTGGAGCCCAGAAGTAGTGTTGGTAAACTACTTGGGATATGATCACCACTGTATCTGGGAAGCCTTCTGGAATTGGTTTAAGGGTAAATGTACAGGAAAATAGGTTATTGAATAGTTTGAACACCATGATTTCCTGTAGACTTTCCCTTGAACCAATCCATTGAAAGACTCGACCGGACATGAGATCTGCAGGAATTGTTGAGGGTACTCTTTAGCATTCTTAGAATCGCGGTGCCATCCTGGAACACTCCTCAATCATTCCCGAACGTCCCCATTTTCCATGTGAAGAGCATGAAACGTATCCAAGTTTCGACAGCCATCACCATCGTGTTTTGGGTACTTGATAGGGATAGGACAGTGAAGTTTGTTCAGAGCGAATCTGACTTTGGATGTAGAAAAATGACTTCAGTCCAGGATAGTCCAGGTTTGACCTTGAAGGTCTTCCACGTTGACAACTCTTTGGATGGAATCCACTGCAAAGGAAGAAGCCTGGGTGAAACATCGTTTTGGCCCGACAGGACTGTGATCTTAGTGCCATGTGCAGAGTGCTTGGAGGCAGGTAGAGGGTTTGAAATGCGTGAAAACCTTGATTCAAGGGAGGAAGCCCAAACCAGTGGATTTTTTCGGGCCCCACCCATTCCTTCTGGTGTGCAATGAGTGCTCTTCACAATCCAAAAATGTCCACCGATTCTTTGCAACTTTCACTGTGAAGTGACATGACTTTGTTGCCTTTGTTCTTTCTCGCGCACGAGTTTGTGAGAGTCTGCGAATCTGTGATGTAGGCCGAGCACTTTGGCCAGTCCTTTCTGGAGACCCATCTACTGCAGGCGAAGATGAAGATGTAGACGACCTCATTCGACCCAACCTATCTCCAGGAATCCAAAGATGCACTGGGCCATCCCAAAATCGCACTCATTCAGGGTTGGCAAAAGAACAAGTTATGAATCTAAAGTGCCAAAGAAACTTCACTGTTATTGGCTGGGACACATTCCAGCAAGACCCCATATTCAACAGGATACTCCACGTAGTTTGAGAGACTCATCTACTGGTAGGCACTGCCAACACTGCGATCGTCTCATGATGCTTCAAGTCAAACAACACATGATTCCTGCGTCATTGAATTCCCCAGATAGCGAAGCTATGGGGTTCTTACTTCAAATAACAATGAGTTGCCCGTGCGCGCTTTCGAGACAGGTTGCTGGTGCTGGGTGCCGGTGCTGGTGCTGGTGCTGGGTGCTGTGAGCTGGCTGTGCACGTGGTGGAAACAGGTTGCTGGTGCCGGTGCTGGTGCTGGGTGCCGGGTGCCGGTGCTGCTGGTGCTGTGAGCTGGCTGCGCACGTGGTGGACAGGTTGCTGGTGCACGTGGTGGAGCGCCGGTGCTGGTGCTTTGGTGGAGACAGGTTGCTGGTGCTGGGTGCCGGGCGCCGGCGCTGGTGCTGTGAGCTGGCTGTGCACGTGGTGGAGACAGGGTGCCGGTGCTGGTGCTGGGCGCTGGCTGCGGGCTGTGGTGCTGGTGCTGGGTGCTGGTGCTGGGCGCCATGAGCTGGCGTGCTGGAGCTCGGTGCTGGCGCCCGCTTCTGACAGTGAAGTGATAACAACCGCCGCTTCTGACAGTGAAGGGTGACAAACCGCCGCTTGCAGCTGTGAAGGGCGACCAAGCGCCGCTTCTGACAATGAAGTGCCAGCAGTCATGGGCCGCATGAACTTATGCACGCAACATCATACGTAGTTTTCGCTTGAGCGTGAACTTATACGACTTATACGCGCAAGATCATGCGTTGATATTCCCCAAATAGGGGTAGCTAGGGGGGTTCTTGCTGCAAATAAGAATGAGCTGGCTGCGCGCGCTTTCGAAAGGGTGTCGGTGCTGGTGTTGTGGTCCTGGGCGCTGGCTGAGCGCGCGTTTAAGACGGGCGGCGGCGCTGGACGGGTGCTGGCGCCGCTGCCGGTGTTGTCAGCTGCACCGGCGCTGGTGTCAGCTGATTGCGCGCGCTGTGGAGCTGCCGTAAGCTGGGTGTGCAGGCTGCGTACATTCTTGTTCCAGCCAGTCGCATGTCAACAGGTAGTGGGATTCTGCCTTGAGCGGTCACAATTGAAGGACCTTCGTGGATTGCTATTGCAGCAGGTACCCACAGTACGTGGATGAAAGAAATCCTGCACCACGCTGTGATACCAAAAAGTGTTGGGAGCGCGCCGTTCTCATGCCCCATCCCCAATTCACAACTCTTCGGAGTGCAAGCCCACGTAGCCTTGAAAGTACCCCTTAATCGTGAGTCGAAGACGAAGATGTTCCCATGATAGATCAAATGAGATTGTACGTGGAAATACCGATTTTCTACCTGACAGCCACTCAAGATCCTGAGCGGCTGAGTGGCTGAGCGGCTGGCAGGAAGAACAGCCTGAGTGGCTGAGTGGCTGGCAGTGTGGATCCTGACTGACTGAGTTCCTGAGTGGCTGAAAGTGTAGATCGTGTAGTTGTAGCAGCAGCAGCAGCAGCAGGAGGAGTAGGAGGAGTAGGAGTCGGGTTAGTCGTAGTAGTAGTAGGAGTAGCAGTAGGAGTAGTAGTAGTAGTAGCAGCAGCGGTAGTGGTTGTTGCTGCAGTCGTCGTCATCATAGAGTTCGTCATCCTCTCCCTAAGGTGCGACAGGTTCGGGCTTCCGGTTTGGTGTCCCAAGCTGGAGGGAGGTGTGGACGAATAACCCGAGTTGAGCAGACACTGTGCCCCTTGACGACCTACACTACTGCATGGCACAAAAGGCTCGAACACGCGAACGAAAGCTCCCAAGCGCGGGCCACGGCTGTGGCTCAAGTTGCTGGACGCCCTGGGCAGCTTCAAAGAACCAGTCAGGAACCCACTTCCAGTGGGCTCGGATATACCCTCTGGTCATCCATGTCTTGAGCAGATGAAGGTCTCCATCTGAGCCGGCAAACCGCGTCGAAGACGCAATCCATGTCTCCATTGCGTTGCGCCTGACACGTGGAGGCTCTTTACCATGCCGTTGGGAACCGAAGGCCAAACAGGGGCCTTGGAAAGGGCTTGGACTTGCGGCACCAGTTGCGCAAAACTATGACAAAAGGTGTCAAGCTGGATCTGGTATTGAACAACATCATCCCATGTGGCGGGGAACAAGAATTTATTCTCTTTTTTGTCATTAAAAAAAACTACAAAAACTGTTTGGTCAAAGCAAAACGAGACAAACAGCTCTAGCCATGTGACGCCCACTCCATCGTTGGAGGCATGGAAATTTCAACCTTACGCATCCAGGCACGGACCTTGCTGGCGACAGCTCGGCAACTGCAACCCTCCCAATCTTCACTCGTCTCCGGCGCTGGTAAGCGTGGATTTGCCACAGTCTGTGTGAGGAGGCGATGCATGGCATTGGGGTGTGATGGTTCCTGACCTGACCCCTCTTGAAGTTCCAACTGGGTTTGTCGATCAATTTGCAAATTGGCTAACAGGTGCAAAAAACATCAAAGGCATGTTGCTGCTGGCGTAGTTCCTGAGCTTGCTGCACACACCCAAAATCACCAAAAACTTCGGGAATGATCTCGTAGTTCCACTTCCCATCCTTTCTTCGCAGGGGCAAGGGGATGAGGCGAGGATGCTCACTAAGGTGCTGCTCGGCCATGGGGCCATGAGTTCTCAACGGAGCAGGTTATCCAACAACCGCTTCAGTCCACGGGGTCACCTCAGACCTTCGTTCGGCCTCGTTCTGCGAATAAAAGCATCCCACGCTGCGAATAGAAGCGGCCAATATGAGGCTGCTCTTGCCAACGCTGATGTATGGCAGCTTTGGAGGCGCTGAGCCATCAGTTGCGCCAGAGCGGACCTTGCCTTCCAAGGCTAGATGAAGCAGTTGCTAGCTGCGATGTACGGCTGCAAGTGTCGGGTCTGCCCTTTGCCAGGGTCAAGGAATTGTGGAATAGGTCCCCGTGGCGGCCCGTGGCGTTCAAACACTTCCAATGCTAGGATCGCTAGGACATACTTGTGTTTTTGCAGTTGCAGAGGCCACTCAGCCACTCACGCACTCAGGTTGCGCACCTCAGGATCTTGAATGGCTGAGTGGCCGGTGTGAACCGCGACCCGGATTGCACACACTCTCTCAAATGAGGTGATTTGGAGTCATGGGCCGATGTGGCCTTGGACTGCATCGCCCTCGCTATGGCCTTCGGAACCCCGACTCCGCCAGGCAAGTGCGATGCCAAACTGCTACATGAACCTCCTGGGACAGGCGCGGGACAGGATGATGTCAGGGGTTCGATTAAGCGTGAGATATGGAATCATGTGAATCCTGTAGGCTCTAAGGATTCCGCTAGAGTGCCTGTTCCTTCTCTTTGGCAAGCGATTGACGAACTCCCAGAAGATTGTCTCCATGACTTCAGGACCGATGTTTCAGGAACACAGAACATGCTATCCTTTCCAATTAAATATGAAACGCGCACAGTCATGAAACCTTCATCCTACATCCAAGCAAGCAATGATAAATCGGATAAGTGGCTCGGGGCCCTGACTAACAACCTCATAAATAGGTAGACCACCTAGAAATTGCACAGGGTGAAATCTCTGTTCCACCCCTCATTTGTTATGCGGACAGGTCTTTTGTTTGTCATTGTGTCCTTGTTTTTGAGACACATCTTTGAAATGATCGTGAGCCTGAGCCCTTGACGTGGAACACATCTGCCCAAGGGTGTGGGCATCTTTGTGGGCAGGGCGTGGAGATCAAGGAGAGTAGCGTCACCACGCAGCTAGGCTTCCAGGAGCATCGCATTTGCGAGGCACGCATTCGTGCAGATCTGATAGGTGGCCGAAAGGGAACAAAGCCTTTTCGGAACTTGTAGAGTATCCTATGTGTTTCTCGCAAACAGTTTGGTTTATTTGATTTTGTTTGCTGATAAGATCTGATAATATTGTGTGTTTTTCGCTGCAATGGTGTTTTGCAATGGTTGAAACTAAGTGTCCCAAGCCAAAAAAAGGTACCGCGAGATGCGAGTTTTATTGTCTCTGTCCTCAAGACCTGAGCATGCCTCGGCTGCGTAGTACGGAAGGGTCGTAGCTCGGCTCACGCTACTGGAGGTCTTGCAGAATGACTCCATGTACGATCTTAGCGGGGCTCTCAGTGACCGGCTTTTGGGTGAATCGCTTTTTCGAAAAGCCTGGGCAGCGTGATTGTCGTGATGATTGGAGTGGCTCCAAGCAAAGCACTTCTGATGTGGGTGAACATGTGGGGCGCTTCCATTGGTCCTTGCCGGCTGGTAGCGGCAGTTCGCCGCAGACCTGGGTCGATAAAACTCAGAAGATGACAACAGTTATTCTGAGTTATGATGCTCACCTGCATGCATTCATTTTTCCCAGGTGGGCATGAATCCGCCTATGGGCAATGGCAACAACGCAAGTTCAACCACAAGTGTTATGTCTTTGCCGGGCAATGCTGTTTTGAAGCATGAGCCTTTTCAATATACCATGCATGCAAGACAACACGGAAATTGCTCAAATACGGGCAAGCCTGACAACGTCGTCAACACGACAGTTTGCTATGCGTCGGCCTGTTAGCGTGACCCGTGTTTGTGTGCCAGCATGACAGCATGTCAACACTGACGGCCTGACAACATGGGGCATGACACCGTCGCGTCAGCATGACAGCACGCTGGCAAGTTTGTTGCATTTTGTTGCACTGGTCAGTCAGATGGCATGTGGCGCTGAAGAAAACGGTACTCTTGACCTGCGTTGCCTGCGATGGTGGCACTGGCGACTGCTGGCGCCCTGGGCATTTTGCATTGACGCTGAAAAGGATACAGTAGGCAACCATGGACCGTGAGGCCCCTTCCCCACTTGACAGGATGATGGCACCTCTGACCCTCACTTCATGGGCACGAATAGGGCACACTCTGTGTCAGAGAGATCGCTCTATTCCATGATGAGCACCAGCGCTACGGATTCAAACGTCACCTCCAGCCAGCTGAAACTCTTGAGTCATGAGTGCCCTCAGAGCGGTGTGCGATCCACGAAGGGAAACATCACTTCACTGCTTTGTGGTCACTTGTGATGGAGAAAGCACGAGAAAGGTCTCATATACAGTACATATGCTGTAGCGTCCCCGTAAATAAAGGTGAACCCCCTTAATTCGATGTCGCTCCGCAGCTCCGGCTCAACTTATGTGGGGGCACCCACCACATTGTCGGTGTGGTGTGTGTTCCACACTTCGGCGAGTCTGTCACCACATCTCAGACTTCTCGCCGAAGCCGGGGTATATCCCATTTGCAGCTGACCGGCTTCGAGTTCTCGCTGGTGAGCTGTGTGATTGGGGCGACAGCTACTACGCGTCGGGTGCGGCACAACCCGGTGCGGTGGCACCTCCTCAGGCGGGGCCTGAGGGAGGAAGAGAAGAGCAGAAGGATCAGGCCGATCCGACAACAGAGAAGAGAGAGCAGGCATCTGGAGGCATCGCAAGAGGCAAAGGAGTGGAGACCAAGGAGAACAAAGGGACCCGTCGTGAACGTGACAGTGGAGCTCATCGTGAAAAGGCAGTGAAAGAGACAGTCGACGTCAAAGAAGAACCCAGTGAGGACAGCGCATTCAACTCTGAGGAAAAGAACCTACGTACAACAGCCTCCAAAAGCTTTGCAAGGCCTGCTCCTCTAGGAAAGCGGGTAGAGAAAGTTGGAGGTGCTTCAGCCCAGGAGATCAGTGAAGAGGAGGTTGCAACCGAGCCCGAGACCGAGGAGGTGGTGGGGAGCGAAAGGGAGAGGAAGAGACCAATCTCTCCTCGCTCGCCTTCAGTCAGAGATAAGAAAAGGTCAAGGAGAACGAGATCTCGATCCAGGAGGAGGAGACGAAAGGAAGACAGCGACAGAGGCCGAGTTGAGAGAAGCCCGGATCCCTATCAAGAGGAGGTTGATCGAGCACGCGAAGGCCACTCCTCCTCTGCACACCCTGAGGCGCATCCAAGGCCCACACGAAGGCCTAGCACGTCTTTGCCAAGGAGACCAAGGAGTCCCAACTATCCACCTCCTGCAAAAGGAAAAGGTCGAGGTCGCGGGTGGCACGGTTATCCTCCTCGACAAGAGTGGACAAACAAAGGGGTGAAGAAGGTTGGAAGGCAATTGGAGTTCAAGGAGTACCTCGCCTACAAAAAGTACCGGTGAATAGGGGTGCATGGCCCCAAAGAGAAGGCCAGCTGCCGCTGGTGAGGCTAGAGAAGACAGGAGGAGAGTTAGAGTGAGACCAGCTGCTGTCGTCCCACCCGCTCCTGCAAGAGAGGAACTTGCGACGGGAGCATGGGTGGAATCAGGAGGTATGGCAGTTACAGACCTCCTTCCAGGGAAGAAGTTCCAGATCGAAGCGCTCTACTGGGACAAGCCCGTCGAAGCAGCAGCAGAGCTCGTGGGCGTGGCCATCAAGGCAGGGCAGATGGAGGTCAGCTTCCGCGTCAGTGGCACCTCAGACGAACAACTTCTGAAGTGGCTCACCGCAGAGGAAGATCGGGTCCTTCGAGGTCACCTCTGCCCCGCCGGTTGCAGCAACAGCCCACAAAGCGAGGACCTGATCCACGTGAAGCGTCTTCGGCTGTTGGAGTTCGACGCGCCTGCATAGAACCACAAGGAGGCAGCAGAAGCAGAGGTGTTGAGGAAGTTAGCAGCCGAGTCCGACCGACGAGCACGAGAAGCCAAAGGAAAAGGAGTGGGAGCTCCTGCGGGGGAGGCCGCAAAGGGAGCAGATACAAGCGAGAGTTCAGGCACCTCGGACTCCAGCAAGGAGAAGAAGAAAAGGAAGAGAAAGAAGAAAAAGGGGAAGAAAAAGAAGAAGAAAGGCAAGGCATGGAAGGTCGAGGGCAAGAAGGAGTTGAAGCAGTTGTTTCAATACACGGGACTGGACCCAGACGCCAGCATCAGGAGAGCAGCCATGAAGAAGGCCCGCCGAGGTATGCAGAAGAAGAAGGAGGATTCGGAAGCTTCCTCAGGGAGCAGCAGCGGAGAGAGCAGATCAGCAAGCGCAGGCGAGGAGTTGTTCGAGGATTCTCACCGAATCCGGAGGGCCGCGGTGAAGGGGCCAGGGGCCCTTTCGTGTCAGACGATCCAGAACATGTCGAAATACTTGCTGACGGCGCAAGGGTTGCCGGTTGCACCACGAGATGGAGCTCTACCTGCAATCTGCCTACAGTACCACAGACAGGTGCTTGCCAGTCGGCTCTCTCCTCCGCTGGCCAGGGAGAGTTTGAATCTCTGTGCGGCGGCGGACGCCATCTTGGACGGCCAAGCTGCTCTGGGAGTGGATATTCTCCTGCAGCGTCTGAAGTCAGTAGAGGCATTGGGAGGAGGCACTACATGGGCAGCCGCCCAGAAGCTCGAGCTGACACCAGCGGAATCTTCTCAGCTTGTGGACCTCGAGGAGAGTCGATCTGCAAACAGGGAGTTGAGGGAGGAGCTGAAGAACAAGCAAGCAAGCCAACGTATTTGGCCAAGTGCAAAAGGCGACAGCAAGAGCGGCAGCAAGACAAAGGCGGAGGAAACCAAAGGCAAAGGCAAGAAGGACAAGGGGGGCAAAGACAAAAAGGATCGAGAAAGGGAGAAAGAGAAGTGAGATCTCCTCTCGAAGGATTCACTGGGCAGGACATTGAGGCTGAGTTGAAGCGCATTGCACACGAGGTTCATGATGGGTTGCAGCACGATGCCACAGAGATGCCGGATGCAAACCCGGGTGAGATGCCGTATGGTCACTCGGAAGCGACCATTTTGGTCGGTACAGAGCGCAAGGGGAGTGCCGACCCCGAGCGCATTTCACATACCGAGCTCGTTGAGCCAGAAAAGAAGAGTTTGAGCGGCTTGGGATTCGAAGACGTCGTCGGGGGGCTGGTGGGGGAGCTGTCGAGTTTTCTTCGCAAGACCACGACCCCGGGTGAGGTGTTCCCTCTACCTGTCGACACCGCCTTGAACCAGCCTTTCCTTTCCCACTTATCGGAGGGTGTTCGAAGTGTTCTTCGTGGAGTGGTGTTGGGACTGAATGACGTGTATGACACCAAGCCGCAACCATGTGAAACAGTTTCACCTTTGCATGTACGTATACTTCTTTTACTGAGTGAGGAGGTGGTTAGGTTCCTTGAGAAGTTGCCCAAGTTTGGGGATCTTAGCTGGAGGGAGTTCCTAAAGGTGCGTACCATTGATTACAAGGGAGACGAGGTCAGGACAGCTCAACAGACGTCATGGGAGAACATCTCTCCTGCCCTCCCGGATGAAGTAGGCACAGTGGAATTGGAAGATGTCGTAGGAGGTGGATGTCTTCACTATATCCATCACTTCGAGGAATATCTGGTGCCCCGTGAAGCTCAGACCTACACCAAGCCTCCAAAGGTCATGGTGGAATTGGACCAATGGGAGTCATTCTGTCAAGGACTCCTGTCCAAGGGGGTGGTTGGACTTATTCCCGAAAGCAAGGTTTTCCATGCGCAGGGCAAACCATTACTCAACGGACTATTTGGAGTTTTGAAGGAGGAGACCCATCAAGGACATGAGGTTCACCGGCTAATTATGAATCTGGTGCCATTGAACAAGCTGTGTCGTCCGATCACAGGTGACGTCTCCACTCTTCCAAGCTGGCCGAACATGAACGCCTTCCAGATCCACCCGGACGAGGCGCTACTGGTAAGCAGCGAAGATGTGCGTTGTTTCTTTTACCTGTTCCGGGTGCCTGTGGGGTGGAGACCGTACTTGGCGTTTTCTAGACCCGTCCCCCCGAACCTTTGTGGTGATTCGTCGGAACCGCACTATTTGACTTCACTTGTATTGCCTATGGGTTTTTGCAACAGTGTGTCCCTAGCACAGCACGCACATACACCGCTATGTGGTTGGAAAAGCGCTGGATGAAGCTCGCTTGCTTGGATTGAGGGGAGGGTGGGAGTCGGAGTTGAGGAAGGACCGACCCCTCCCAATCAGCAACCCCGTACACAGGGTCTACTTAGACAATTTCGACCTTCTGGAGCGTGTGAACAGGACCATGGCAGAGGTGGTTCAGGGAAGCGTTGCACCTTTAGCTTCTTCTCTCCGACAGGTGTATGAAGAGCTTGCTATTCCCAGGCATCCCAACAAGGCTGTGGAGAGGCAGTTCCAAGCA